AATCGGATGGAAAGGTTTTTTTTTGTGTTATCCATATTCCGCTATATTGTAGTGACTTAATGTTGAACTAGATAGTCGGTATATTGTAGTGACTTTGAGTTAGTGTTGAACTAGATATTCGGTATTGAATTCTCACCTGCTGAAGAAACCCTCTGCTGATCCATCACTTGAAGCTGGTCAACAAAACCCACCGCACTAGCATCATAAACCACATCGGAAAAGGAAAAGTAATCCAACATATCCCAACAGTTCAGTCCACGAGAAACATGGTTACTTGGCGACGGAAGCAACATCCATAACGCTGCTTTATCAATACCATAACAACGCTATAGCAAAACTATAGTAACAATAGTCAATATAGCAACACCATAGCGATACTATAGCAAAACCATTGCAAACTGTAGGTAGCTACTCAAAACCCATCAAAAAACAAAGCATAAACCCAAAAATGAAAAATCCCATTATTACAGAGTGTGACCCACGAGAAATTTTCTATCTTTCTATCAATTTCTAACTCCGTATCACATACATCAACACTTTGTGATAATATAGCAAAACTAAAGCAAAAATTAACCAGCGAAAGTGGTCCAACAAAGCCCAACAGCAATCCAAGAAAAATGACCGCCTGAGCAAGAAGCATACCGGACAAATAATAACTCCTTAAGTTGAAGCACAACTTCTAAAGCTTCGTACTGATCATGATGACCATTGTAATGGTATACAAAGCTGTGAACATGACCATTCACTATGATAAGAATCCCAAGGGTGGCCTCTGATTCCACCATGAAAGCAAAGAGTGGCCTCTAATTCCACCAGGAAAGCAAAGAGTGGCCTCTAATTCCGCCACCAAAACAAAGAGTGGCCTCGAATTCCACTGCTAAGAAAACCACCTCAACTGCATCTGATATCACTCATTCCACTGCACTATGTAACCAACATTAACAACAAGGATGTGACAGTCAACATTAACACTCATACTGGAGGAACAAGGAGCAATACAAAGCTTTATAAAGGAGCATTATACAAGATTGAAACTTTAGTAGGAGCAATATAAAACGTTGGTAGGATTATTTAAGTTGAGTTGAACTACTAAAGCTCTTATATTGGAGACTCAGACTCTCCGGACGGCGGACCTAACGGCTAACTACTGTAACATGGCCACTCCGGCCCGATATATATATACTTTATAAAGGAGCAATATATATATATATATATATGTTACTTACTCACTGCTTTAAACTCATATAGATCACATAATGTTATCGTTGTATCATATCACTTACCATTAAAGAAGCGGAGAGCTGTGTTGGCCGGAGATGTAGTTGTTGGATGAAGTCTCACCAGTTTCAGACACGAAACAATAGAAAAGATGTTGATCCGAGGAGCCGAGATTAAACAAACTCAGAGTCAAAGGTCTGAGCTTGTTCTTTCGTATCTTGATCAGCGCGCTCAGCCGCTAACCCGCCACCTCTCCCATTGGCCGGTGCTACAGTCACGTGACTACACGACGCTTTCTCGTTGGATAACTACAGCGAGCAGGGCTCTGATTGGCTGTTGTCGCCGTCACGTGATGTTCATGACGTTGTGCTTGTTTTCGGGAGAGTCACGTGATGAATTCTGATGGGAAAATCGCTTTAACTCTCGTTTTTCTCACAGATAAATGGAGCTGACACTTGCGTGACATGTATTGAGCACGTTTTTCAGCCTGTTTGACAGCAGGCAATACAGGACCATTCCGGGGAAGTTCCACCCTGCGGAGTGTAGCTGTGCAAACTCACTCAACTGAGTCAGAGCGCAAAAACTCTGAGATCAGAAGTATAAAGCTCGAAATCAGCATATGTACGTATTTGGCCTATATACGTAATACGTATCCAGGAAAAGTACGTTTGAGACGTGTTTCTCAACTTGGGTACCAGACTCTTTTTCGTTCCCGACTGATTCTTAGGGCATACAAATTGGGCCAAATTTGTATATTAAAATGGTGAAATAAGAGTACGTCAGTCCGTGACACAGTGTAAGCGATTATTATTGTTATGTTTTATCAAACCTACAGTTGTAGGAGTGTGTAAGTTAGTACTGATATCTTGATATTACCCTTAACTGATAAGAAAAGGTAACGTTCGGCGAGAGTCAGGATTTATCATCCGCGAACATGTCGAGGTCAGGATACTTTAGGTTGATAAAAGTATACGGCAACGAATATAAATATATTTAACTTCATATCACTATATCATATAACTTTAAATCGTGACCTCAAGAAAAGTTCTTTATTTAGTTTTATCTTCAGTTCTAAATCCGTAGCTGCATATCGAACGTACCCTGCGTTGAAGTGATTTTATATGTTTTTTCTGACTACACGCACAGAACCTAAAATAAATGTAATACTCCAAGTACTACTACTTGAATTGAAGTTGACTACAAGCGCCCCCCTGTTGGCGCCCCCGGCCCTTTTGGAGCCCCTTCCTAAAATTAAACAAATTAGATGATTTTAGAGGATATACACCGGTAAAATTTCTAAAAAAGTGTGTTTCTAGAGCAAAACGCTCAGTTTTGCTAGTACCGTAATTAAGTTTTTCGAAATTGTCCCACATTCAAACGACGATTTGGCGCCCCCTAAGATTGCTCTGTTTATTTTGGCTTTAAGGGGTCGTTCACATATTAAGTAATCATTTTTTGGAACATTTTTACCCCCCCCCCCCCCCTCCGTAATCAGTTTTACACATAGCTATAATTGTGTCAAAATTACACTAGCGTAATCATTTGGAAACCCAATTAAACAAATATGACATGATTTAAGTTTTAACTGAGCTTTCTTTTCATCCGATTTGACACACGCTGCCGGCTGCAACCCCTTTTGATCGCGCAAGAGAGAGGTATGCAACGTGAAGCAACATCCGATTGGTCGACAACTTCCATTTACTGGGCTAATGGGGATTGAAAATATCTAACAATAACATAACGTAAGGGAACCCCTTTGAGATTATCATACCTCGATACCGACTACAGAACCCTCCCAAGGGGTTCTTAAAAATGGAAATTAAAATTGAAATAAGAAAATAACAATTTCTACAAATTGTAAATATCACAGTTATTGTTGGTTAATAATTGTTGAATATCTTTTTACTAATCAGTAGCTTTTCTAACCCTGCGTGCGTGATTTGGACTCCAACACTACTTCAATTAAAGTTTTTGTTGATTACATAAAATATCTGCTAACTCGAGTACAAGACTTTTGTTTGCGATCGGATCATGAACAGTTTCTGGTGTTGGTCTTTCTCCCTCAAACATTTCCCTCCATTATAAATGTGCTAGAAATTAAAACTTCGATAACACGTGACTCAAACCACGTGCTAAAGCCACTCTCCCACGTGTTTAGCAGTCACGTGACAATCACATTGCCCACGTGACAGCTTTACCCTACACGTTCGCTGCCAATAATATTTACTAGGGAAGAAGGCAATACCTCTAGTGCTTGCAAACAAACATAATTAGAAGTACCCCCCGCAGCACCCGAGCAACATCCCCCATTCCTTATTTGGACATATCATTGACCATATAAGGAAGTATTTACCATATAAGGAGTGGTACAATTCCTCAGTGAACAGAGTTAACTAGCTGATAGCCCAGTGGGGTTGATTAGACCCCCAGCTAGTATTCAAACAGGTTTGGTTTGACAATAACAGCTCACTTGGTGGGGGTTGATCATGGTTACTACTTACTAAACAGTGTTATAGTTACTAAACAGTGTGGATATAACTGGTTGTTGCTAGTTATAGAGGGAGATGTTAGAGAAATGTGCTGTGGTAGTAGAATCATGATCAGGGTTTCAAATCACCAATGATTGTTCACTTTGAAAAGATAAACTTCAAAATGAAGAGAGGGAACAGTCCTCTGATTCCAAGCATATCCTAAAGGTTTCAACACGGGAATTAAAAAACTTTCCAGGGATTCAAGTCAAGCTTGATTGTCGAAAGAGAAATTAATGATAGCCAGTCTCCGTGTTGTTACTTTCTCTTTCGCCCATTTTTTCAATCTTATAATCTCCACGCCAAAATGCCCCTTTTCTTCGTTCAGTAACCTTGAACAGTCCCTTTCAATTGCTTGAACATGACAAATCTTCATTGTTCATGCACATTACCATATCTCACTATATCAAATGACTATAAATTATTGATGATGCTGCCCGTTTGTATTTGTTAAAGTATACAATTTCAAACTTTTATTCTTGCATCAATCAAATATAGACCACATAAATCATATGCTAACCACTAACCAGGCATAATAATAATTTATTGGCGGTCCTCTACATGGCTCAGCCGGGACCTGGAGTCAGATTAAAAACTCGATCAGCGTATGCTAGTGTCTTGTACTATAATCTTATAATTGTACTATCAAGTACTATTGCGCCCTTCACTCGTATAGATGCATGATTAAAGGATGCATCTTCCCCTCACCGTCTTTATTTTATTTTTATCGCCATACGGTTTTCAGGTTGCACACACAAGACAGTCCCGGTGTAAAGCTGACCCACCGCTCGAAGTTAACTAATGAAGTTAATTAAAACGTCGTTATGGCGTTTAAGGTCCCGTGCAATAAATAACGTGCACGTTGACACGTCTTGGCAAGGTGCAAAGTTATCGTGCTTAATCAATATCAGCGTGATAACGAGATAATGAGCTAATCATGTAAAATAGGTCGACCCTCTCTCTCTCTTTATAACTTTTCTCTTTAGCCCATCTATCTGGCAGAATGAAAAGACGGCTGTAAAAAGGACGATTTATTCATAAAAATGAAATTATACTGTTGTTTTGTATAGTGTATTTAATCTAATAATGCAGTGTCAACAATCTTTCGCTGTAACCAATTAGGACTTTTATTGTTTTAATAATCTTACTCTTTACTAAATAATAATAATAATAGTAATACGAAATCAAGTAATTGAATCCCATATTATAGATTACGTACAATTTCATCGTGATACTTTAGAATATACGATTTTCCTTGAAAATATGCGGATAAGGGTTTATTTACAAACTATTCGTCTCGCTTCTCTATTAAACACTCTAACAGCTTCGAGATAAGTACATTTAATTATGTTTTGTAAAACATTTGAAAAAAGGTCACGACATTCAATAAACTGTAACTTAACAAATACTCTGCCACACAAAACTATCTCCCACACAAAAAAAACATTAAATCCTTTTGATTTGCTCAAAATAAGAAAGCTGCAATCACACTTTAAAACAAATTGTAAGAACACGTGTCAAATTTAACAGTATCAAGTGATAACGTTAACACGTTATCCGTCACGTGCCAATGTTATCAGTCCTCAGTCTTCAGACACGTATAACAACAGTAGTAAATTATTGGACAGGGATATCTGAAATTCTGGTCTCCTGACAGCAAATTCTCCCCGTCTCCCTCTGTCCACTCTTCAGTACTTCGATTGAACGAACTGTCTGGATGTGGAATCAAGGTTTTTAAATGATATTTCCTTGCGTTCTAAAACAATGTTTGAATAATTTATCGTGCTCTGGACAGCAGAAATTTCTATTTTACGCTGTTGAAACTTGAAACTGTGCAACATGAGATAGCATTGTGTTTGAAAGAAATTATATTAAGCATTTGCAACTTATTTCGTTAGTTTTCAGGTGCATAACCCGAGCGCCGTATGTATTTAAATTTATTACATACCTTCATCATCAAACAATGCCACAATTTCACTATCACACGAATTCGCAACAGCTGCATTTCCTATTGCAACTACTATCGCTTCTCTCTCAATTTCACTTTCACATTTACTTTCACTTTCACTTTCATTACTGGTCTTAGTCTCACTATCACAGTCACTTTTTCTCTCTTTCTCACGCTCCCATTTATCTTCAAGGATCACTGGTAGCTTTTTGTACTTTAACTTTTGCGTTCGTTTATCTTTTGGGTCTATACTGACACATGTTAATAAAATAGACTTCCTTATCTTTTATCTAACTTTCAAAGTTTTGAAAGTTGACAATTTTAAAATTATCTGTCAAACTTACCTTGACATTAACAACTCATGTCAGTTTGTCGGCTTATCAGTTTGTCGGTTTGTCAGTTTGTCAGTTTGTCACTTTTTCAGTTTGTCACTTTGTCAGTTTATCAGTTTATCATTTATTCAGTTTGTCACTTTATCAGTTATTACCTTTATGATGAGACAGCATGCTATGAGGCCGGCTATGTTTGGGGGACCCAGACACAGTATCGAGAAGATTACTCCCCATAGCACTGATCGCTCCTAACCTAGAGATACCGTGTAGATCGTTGTACCGTGCTGCTTCGTTTTGTTCTCGCTGTATCATGTCCTCCTCCTAGGAGAAGTGTTAGAGTGCAGATTCTTTGTAAAATCCGGATTGGAATATTATTTATGAGTCGCATAGTTGAAATGTTTTTTATTTCCTTTCCTCCTTGAATAATTCCTTTTCTCCTTGAATAATTCCTTTCCTGATAAGAACATTTTCCTTGTCGCATCAAACGGGATCAATAGAAATTTACCCAAGAAAACAGCGAGCTCTTTGTTTAAAAGAAAGGTTGCACATTGAACTGTAATGTGACTGTGACTGTGAACCAACAAATTGCATATTTATTATTTGATTTTTTCTTAAAGCTAGGCACAAAATAAAACCTTGTGTTTCACAAACCTTTATTCCCTGATATCTGGCTCTAAGTTCACTGATCATCGTCTCGTCCAGTGCACCCCGCTCTGCTTTACACCTCACTCTTCCTAAAAATAATATAACTTTTTTTTTTCAAACTTTTTGAAACAACAAGGAAAAACAATCAACATGAATTTTCATCGATGTAGATTAAATATAGCATAAACGTTTTGAAATAAAACGAATTGTTTCAAAGAAATAGAACAAGGTAGTTGGTAACAACACTTACCACCGTTATCAATCACTATTATTGGAACGTACATCGTGGCCAGTACTTGGTCGGGGGTGTATCCATTACGATATAAATCCCACAGCTTAAGATATTTCCTTGTGTTAAGGTTACCGTAATTATTCATTTTCTATAGTTTAAATATTTACTTGTGTTTTTGTTTTGGATGGAAATATTTCGTAGGCTCCACTTTCAAAAATGGGTATCCAATATCCATATCAGATTTTATCTCGGAAAATACGATGGTTGAAATTTCTTGTCTTATATAAGCATCATATAAAATTAGGACAATCTCTAAAACAACAAAATAGTTGACACCTGTAATAGAGTACGCTCTTTCTCGAAGGTCATGTCCTCGAAAATACCCCCAGCTTTAAAGTCAAACCCCACCCCTATACGAGCATCGTGTTTTATCATCCGCAAACCTCGTTCTCTACATCTGAAGCAGGACCAGGTTATCTTAGAATACACTTTCTGTTTCAGATTTGATCTATATTTATGATGATATATTCATTTATAATTATGTAATAAAGTTATTATATTCGTAAACATTGACTGGCTTATAAACCAGTCCCCCAAACAAACAAAACAAACAAACAGGTAACACAGGATGGTTACACACAGGACTTATAAACCAGTCCCCAAACAAACAAAACAAACAAACAGGTAACACAGGATGGTTAAACACAGGACTTATAAACCAGTCCCCAAACAAAGAAAACAAACAAACAGGTAACACAGGATGGTTAAACACAGGACTTATAAACCAGTCCCCAAACAAACAAAACAAACAAACAGGTAACACAGGATGGTTAAACACAAGGCTTTACAATGTGTACCAACGAATCAATACATCGTCAACATGTGAGTGAAATGTCTTGAATTTGAAACTTTGAAACATGTTTTGAATCATTTTTTAACCTAACCTGATTTTAAAGAAATAACTAACTCAGAGAAAATATTTACGACTAGATCTGACCTGGACTTGTGTGCACCCATTAAAACAACACGCGACACAAATACTCACGCATCGCTACCGCATGAACACTACCAGTGAACTACCACAAACCACACAATAAATCACAAAATTTCGGCCTGGTGATCCTATTGGAGTGCTTGGTAAAGTTATTGTCAGCAAACTCTTTGTGATATGGTGTGACGGCTGGATTATTAATAGTATTCTGTTTTCCTGGTAATGAGCTGATATTGGTACCTAACAATCGCACCTTCCTGGAGCAATACGACTTGCACGTGCACAATTACAACTTGCACGTGCTCGCTCAGTGATACAACTTGCATATGGTCTCGCTTATTCTGGCATTCAGATATTCAGAGCTGCTCTACTATCTGCTCTTATTCCAGAAAATTCGTTGAGTGGGTCAAAATGAGTTGACAAGTACGTTGTCCCTTATCCTAACCGTAACATCACCCAAAGTATTAGTAAGTGTAACCGCAATCTTTATGAGAAACTATAATAGGCATGATCGATCCGTTTGTTGTTCTAAAGCTATCTCATGATGACATAAAAGTGAGAAAGATTATTAAACTTAAGTGCAGGTGTGAAATTTGGTTTTTACCTTTTGTTCACCGCGCCAAACAACCTTAGTTGTATTTGAAAACAAAAGTTGAAACACGTCCAAATTCAGGATAAAAGTAAAAAACAATTTAATTGTTACGCGCGTCGCACTGTTACTTTATAGTTTATATACTGATACATCATTAATTGTAAATATTAAGTAGAAACTAAGTCTCTAATGTACAAATGAATGATTAATGGCCAATGGCAGTAGAATAATTACTAAATAATTGCAACCAATTATCTAATTTTCTTCTCCTTTCAACCGTTTTTTAACTGTGGGAAAATAATAAATCAATCTTTTTTTTAAAGTCATCCATTTTCATGACTGAAGCTTTGTTGAGGTCGAGTAATGATCAGTGCCAATATTATTATAATGTGGCTTTATAAAGCCACAACTCACCAGACACCAAGCTTGTGGGTTATAACCCACAAGCTTGGTGTCAGGTGAGTTGCACGTGTGCATGATCGTGGCTGTATCATCAGTTACAGCAAAAGTTTTCTTAACAAGTTTTAATAAAAACGGTTAGCAATTATTATTAACCTTGAGCGTTTAAATTATTCATTTTTATGGTTTGTTATTAGTTTGATCAATATAATCCTTCATTCCTCCTATTATTATACTAATTGTTAATTAGTTAATTAGTTAATTAGTTAATTACCGACCTATACTCTTCACCATTATCCACTGCCAATGCCATTTTAATGGAGGGACGGCGTGATGTTTCCCATTTTTCTAACAGATTATTGTAGATCTCCTTCTTTTTCTCTGTTCTGGACGTTTTCTTGCTCATGGTAAGCACTGAGCTTAGAGCTAGAAGAGCTATTTAACGTTCACAACATGAACAATCTTAATTTACTACGAAATAATCCGTCACTACAATATGCAATAGCAGAGGCAATATTTAAGTGCGGCGAAAAGTGTGATTATTTTGACTCCGTTCAGTCTTGGACTTGTAAGGGCCTACAATCCTCGCGTTGGAATCATTAGAATGTTCATGTACTCACCAAACAAAGTTGGTGTCCTTTTACCCAAAATTTATACCATCTGAATTCTTAAAATGGAACTATTGGTATACATTTTGCAAGTATTGCTACTCGGCAGTCATATTTCTTCAAAATCAAAAATAGCTTATAATTATATTTAGAAATTATCGCTATGATTTGACGGAAAGATTCTTTCCCTTCCTTCGGTTTATAATCAGGAGGGAGACTGGGAGAGGCGGGATATTCGACTGAATTCGGCTCCGGTTTAAATATCCGGTTACAGTCCGGTTTAAAACCTGCTTAAGCCAGGAAACAGGAAAAAGTGCGAAAAAGTGCGGGAAACGGCAAATAGTGCGATTATCCGCACCTGCCGCACTTATATCTTGCCTCTGCTACGTTAGATATACGAATTCTATGAACGAAAACGAACAGAAATATAAACTAAAACTACCAATTCAACTTCTTAAACTTAAACTGCAACATATCTACAAGTACAAATTATTTGAACGAGAACGAAATAATGACAACAAAAGTGAAAACGGAGTCCACAGAAGGTTTAATTGACGACTGTGACAATGTAGACTATACAATGGTATGGCTCTAACTCATTTGTAGGTTTACAACCTACCAGGACGCGCGCCGAGTTGGACTCGTCGACTCGTCGACGGTTCCAATATATGGAACAGATATTTTACGAGTATCACCCGTTAATAACTCATCGGTCTTGTGATGATGGTATTTGATATATAGAGCTATTAAAACCTGTCCCAGCCATTATGGCATTACCAGGATTACCAGGATTAGCAAATTTTATTTGCTAGCAATTACAATCCGGTGTTAACCAAAGCATCAAAAAATCGTTTAAATGTTGTCTAAAAATTCGGTAAATGAAACCGATTGAGATAGTAGTACTCCTTATTACTCCCTATATATCCCTGCACCTTACCGTTTTATTCCGGCACGTTTAGCTGCCAGGTCTATTCGGTGCTTTTGTTGCACTTTCTGAAGAGCAACTGAAGTTCTTCTAACCAAGTTGTTAGGTCCAGTCATCAGCAGTAACGGGTCCAGATCTGAAAAGGGGTATGGTTACTTAGGTTATTCATACTGTGGTTACTGAGATTACTGTGGTTACTGTGGTTACTGTGGTTACTGCGGTTACTGTGGTTCCTGAGGTTATTGAGGTTACTGTGGTTACTGTGGTTACTGTGGTTACTGTGGTTACTGTGGTTACTGTGGTTACTGTGGTTACTGTGGTTACTATGGTCATTATGGTTACTGCGGTAACTGTGGTTACTGAGGGTATCCATACTGTGGTTACAGTGGTTACTATGGTTATTATGGTAACTGTGGTAACTGTGGTAACTGTGGTAACTGTGGTAACTGTGGTAACTGTGGTAACTGTGGTAACTGTGGTAACTGTGGTAACTGTGGTAACTGTGGTAACTGTGGTAACTGTGGTAACTGTGATAACTGTGGTAACTGTGGTAACTGTGGTAACTGTGGTAACTGTGGTAACTGTGGTAACTGTGGTAACTGTGGTTACTGTGGTTATGGTAACTGTGGTTACTGAGGTTACTGACGTTACTGAAGTTAATGTGGTTACTGTGGTTACAGTGGATATTAAGTGGTTACCTTGGCCACTATTGAAACTCGTCATTGCGAAACGACATTGGAAATGTGCGCTCATTTCAATCAAATTCAAACTAAGTAAAACACATTTTTCAAACAAAATTCTGAAGAATCGTGCAATTAAATGGTAGCAATACGGGTAAAAGTATTATACATACCACCCATTTCCTAATACGTTTTGCAGGTAAACTGATTAGTAGTAGTAACCTCAGGTTTGTTCAGAAAACGCAATGAACAATTGTAATAACTATAAGTCAGCAGTTTTGCTTCCGGATGTGCAGTTTCGTGCTTTCTTTGGAACCACTTTCTGAGGTATCCAAAAGTTTCCTAGTACAGAGTATTTATAAACTTAAGCAAATTGTAAGTGAATGCTTAACAATCCAAATTTTCTTCACTAAAATCTGGAAGCGAATAAAGCAAACTAATCTACTAAAATACTTGCTCAAACTGCGTTGTGGTCAGTACGAATGCACCGTTAATCTATATTAACCAATTCTCCAGAAAGCTATTAAATCCCACTAATTGCTAGATTAATAAAACGATGGATCCTGAACATGGACAATTATAATAGTAAACCAGAGGAAAATCACACCAAAAGTTACTACGTAAATTGTGCGCGCGTTTGAACTCAGCTAGAACTAGAAGTGAAGAATATATCATGTGTACACATTCTGAACATTACTAAGACTTAAGACGGAAGGATACTGTCTCTTTATCTACTGACTACTACTCAACGTTTAGTTAACAGGTTAAGTACGGAAGGTATGATCGGTACAACTATGCAGATCCACCATCTTACAGCCTGGATCCAGACGTACCAACAAATGCTCCATGTATTTCAGCACGCACAGTATTCACAATTTACAATTCAGCCCGTACCAAAACCTGTTGTTTTGTACTTCGCAATGTAACAATATTTTTTGTAGATGTGCAATACTCAAAGTTCAGATTTTACTCCAATTTCTTGTTCTCAGTCAGATCTTTATCCGTCTCTTTGTTTTTAGAGCAAAAGCGGTAGTATTATTATTAGTAACTATAGTAACTATAGTAACTATAGTAACTATAGTAACTATGACTGTGTCTGGTGCTCGTATTTGCAAATTTTATTGGGCAATTTCTAGATGTCTGTTGGTTGAACTAACGCTCAATTAAAAGATTAAACATCAATACAAGCAAAGAAAGGAATACAGCACAGATTAAACAACACCATGGATTAACAACAAACCACTGTTTGAGGTTTATCCGTAATAAAACATTGCATTACTATCTTTACAATTTGATGGTGTAACTCATCGAGAATTATAACTTTTTGAATGATCTAGAACTCTTTTGAATCTTAAAATAGAAAGCTTTTCAGAATAAAGGTCCTAATAATATAGGTGGAGAATAATGAAACAAGAATAAGAGTGTTATACCGTTTCGCAATCGTCCGAACTTTTAACGCCGTAGTCATAACCCAGCCTCAGCAATCGATAAAACAACGTAACGACAACTCAAATATCAGGCATAGAACAAAAACAAGACATATTAGAATTTGCTCACCCTGGCATACTTCTTGTTTGGTGTCCCTCCTGTTTACTTTAAAAGCTGATCTTCTCCCATGAAACATTTTGGGTTCAGTACTAATTTCCCCTAGCTCCTTCTCCACGTGCATCACCTCTTCTACCACCTCTACCTGATCCAGTCCGATTCTCTGCATCACCTCTTCTACCACCTCTACCTGATCCAGTCCGATTCTCTGCATCTCGCTCTGTGTTGCTGGCTTCAGAGATCAGTGATTTCTTTTATGTTTCTTGGCTTCTGCATCATCTAGAGTTATTTGTCGTTATTTTATGATGATCCTTATAATTATATAGGCCTAAAGTTGTCATGACTCATTGGCTCCTTACTTTAAGGGGTTTTATTTTTAAGCGGTTGAATATGAAACGACCGGTCTTTCTGGTTTCCAGAAGTAATGTAGTGTTACGGTTGTGATTATTATGGGTTAAGTTTATGACGACTTTTACAAATAATCCAAGCCGTAAGGGTCTTAATTTAACACCAATCATGTCACGATGATGATTAAAAGTTCATTTTCCGCTGCTAATTTTTGATCAGCAGTTACAATAGGCAATAACTTAAACACAAACAATCTACATCCCGTGTGCTAGCAATTAAGTCCAAGAAAAGATATCGCTACCACTATCTAATAAAATAAAGAACACAAAAGGGAGCTCACTGGATCCGAGTACAATCTTCAATCTAAATAGGTAATGTAAATGTTGACGCTAACAGCTTAACAGAGATTTGTCCTGCCCGCAGATCTGTCAACCAGTTGCAGTATACTAATAACTAACCAGTTGAACCAGTTGAAGTATAATACTAATAGTAATAACTTCTGTGCAACTTCGCCAACTCTAGTACTAGCTTATTCGAATACGTTGAAAGTATTAGTTGAACTAATAGTTCAACCGTCGAGTTACGCTCAATCGTTACTCCTTAAAAGTATAATTGTATATTACCTAGGGACTAATATACTCAGATATTTAAAAACGTAAATAGAAGATAATATGGGGTAAGGAGAGGCTGGTGCCGTCCAGTAAAATATTTTACTGTTCGTTTGTAAAGTTTACATTGCGGACCCTTTAGATCAAATGGGATCCGTGTGTCGCCAAAAGATTACTGTAGTTTCCTGATGAGTTTAACAATACACTAAAGATCTGCCCAGTTGATAATTAGATAGTGTAGTCCTATGTGGTTCAATAACGGGAGAATACAAAAATAAAGATTTAAGACTCGAAATTCTATCCAACGCGTGACACGTGACAATGATTTTGGAGTCTGATTAGTTAATTATAGTGGATGCTGATTAGCGGATTCTAATTGCCAGTGTCAAAACATATGCCTCACCCCACCACCATGAATCCACATCTATAAGCCGAGTTTGTTTCGACTTTTTTCTAGAATATCCGATTTTAAAAAGATGTATGGTATAAAGTTTTACATTAGTCTCATCTCTCAAAATTACGAATATAGATGAAATGCAGCCAGACTGTATTATAATTATCTGTACACAGTGATTTCAGATCAGACTGCAGTAGTATTGTGAAAAACCCGATAATAAAAGATTTGTAAGATTTACTAAAACGTACAGAGAGTTAAAACCAAAAGAGCACATTAAGCTTGTATTTAACCAAAACATTCTGCAGAACCTTTTAACCTGAACATGTGCTGTTAGGAAAGTCCATGTAGTTGTTCTCGAGAACTAGGCCCCGTAAACTGTACCCTCTTCTACAGTTCTACATCACACAATACATCGTTACAATTACAAACGTCAAACTCACAGCTCTTATATGAGATGCTCTCTGATCTTAGCTCTTATCTCGAAAATACTACAGTTAAACCCCGATTTACCGCGGAGTTTGGGGAAAAGGAAACAGCCGCGGTAAATCGGGGTTTGCGGTAAATCGGGGGTTTTTATTATAACTATAATACATTGTGCATGTTAAGCCCTATTTGAGGGAAGGAAATGGCCGCGGTAAATCGGGGTTTGCAGTAAATGGGGGCGCGGTAAATGGGGGTTTTACTGTACTCAGGACGCAGCTATACTATATTACTAGCTAACTCTAACTAGCTAAGTGATATGTGACCATTTTCTGTAATGTTAGCGTTAGAGAACAAAACAGATTGAAATAAGGGGTCATTACCCAATTTAGATCTCTGAAGGTATAGTGTTTCAGGGAACAATAGAACACTTGTGAGGACTGCATGATAAGTGGTATATTGTTATCAAGGCTGCGTATCTAAAATTACCACGTACCTTACAGGCAGACTTACAAGCTGATCCAAACTCATGAGAATATATTCTAAATCAAACCTCCTGGGTTAGTGTGTACTTCAAACACAATTTCTTTCCTTTCCGACGAATATAACTGTGAAATGTACTGATCAGTGGTCACTAATACTACAAGAGATCAGAAACCGCACTCACACTATACAGTAAAACACTGTTGGTCTCTTACTTGGGGACCCCAGGAACCCTTACCTGGGGACCCCTGGCTTTAGTGTTAATAAACATGAAACACGCCAATTAAAAATATGGTGGAGTGATGGTGTGTGACAGTAACGAGTCCGCATGGCAGTGAAAGCAGCCAGTAAGTTTATCGCCTCGACGAAGATCGCTGGATACCTTCTTTGTGCAACTTTTTCCATCATTGCTAGTACGACACTCAATTTTGGGACATGGAATGTTTGTGGTCTCTCCACCACTCACAAGCAACATCTTGTTGCAGAGGACATCGACAGATATGATTTAGATATTTTGGCCTTACAAGAAACCAAAACTCGTGAATTCTTGGAAACAACACTTCCCGGTCATCATAGACTGTTTCTGTTTGACCAGAAGCAGGGTAGACATGGAGGTCTTGGTTTTGTTGTTAACAAGCGTTTTATGGACAGTGTTTTATCGCATCATCAGATCAGTGACAGAGTCGTTTACATGGACGTTAAACTAAAACCTAATCGGGTAAACAAACCACCTTGTTATATCAGAATTATAAATTGTTACAGTCCTACTAATCCTAAATCAGTCCAGAACCCTCAACTAGCTGATCAATTTTATGGTGAGCTTCTTGAGGCTATCAGTGTTCCTGCTCGATTTGAAGTATGGATGTTAGGTGACTTCAATGCCAAGTTAGGCAAGCGTTCACTTGTTGATGAAGAAAATGGTTTACAGCAGCACATAGGTAGGCATGGTGTTGGTAGAAGGAACGAGAATGGAGAGAGATTGTTACATTTTCTGGCAGCAAATGGCTTATTTGCTACCAATACTTCATTCTCCCACAGCAGCAGGCATATAACTACACGCACTGGATGGATAAGAGACCAATCCACCCGAAAGAGTAAACCATACTTCTCACAGATAGACTATATACTTTGCAAGTCCAGGAGCAAAGCACTACTGACTGATGCAAGGTCATATGCGGGAACTAAGCACCGCAGTGACCACAAGCTTGTAGTTGCAAAAGCAGATTTTTCCCTGCGTTATAGTTTCTACAGGAAGAAGAGGACTACTCAGAAGGCATTCAACACAACCACTCTTGTAGGTAGCATTGCAGCGCAACAACAGTTTAAATCTGCACTTACTGTTAATATCAACCAACTTGTATCTGAACCTGACTATTCTTCTAATGATACTTGTCAACAGTTCGGAAAACTATTTAAAAGTGTTGAGACTGCTGCCATCTCCACTGTGGGTCTACGCGAGCCACAGCGAAAGAGACACCACTCTTCTGATAGTGAAGTTGTTGAAATGTCAGAGGAAAGAAAACGATTGCTACAACTTCTGAATAATAATGAATACAGAGACAGAAAGGACTTGAGATCAAAAATTAACAAACTCTCAAATGACATTAAGAAGCGACTGAATACTCTCAGAATAGAAGTTGCAAACAGTCTTGCAGACTCTATCAATAATACAGACGACGGTCGTAAAATGTTTGAAGCCGTCCGGCAACTATCAGGTAACAAGAAATCAGACTCCATCTCTGTTTTTAATGACAAGAATCAACTGGTAGATAATGAGAGTGACAAAGCTGACATTATACGCAACTATTTTGAGCAACACTACACAGGACCAGACAGTGAACCTCCACTTGAGCCGTTTGTTGGCAGTCCTCAGCCACTAAACAATCCCATAACATCCTTTGAAGTGGAACAAGCTGCCAAAAAGCTAAGAAATGGTAAGGCTGTTGGTCCTGATGGTATACCAAACGAATTCCTTAAACACTCCCCACCTATTTTCTATTCTACTTTTGCACAGCTGACCAATCAATCTTTTGAACGTCATGAACATGTACCTTCATTCACTGAAGGATTCCTTACCCCACTGCAAAAACCTGGTAAGCCACGTGGACCTTTAAAAAGTTTGCGCCCTCTTTGTCTTTTAAACGGCACCAGGAAGATATTGTCCATGATAGTCCTTAGACGCATTCAAAGACAAGTTTCTCAGTACACTGGACCTTGGCAAAATGCCTACAAGCCTGGCCATAGCTGTGCAAATATTGTTTGGACACAACGGATCCTAGTTTCAGTTGTAAAGGAGAAACGCTGGTCTCTACACAAAATGGGTATTGATATGTCATCTGCATTCGACACCATTAAGAGATCAGTTCTGCTAGAACTTCTTGCTGATGCTGGTTGTAGTGAAGACGACATCCGACTGGTAAGGTATCTACTCTCATGTACCAAACTGAAGATTAAAGTGAGGTCTACCGTATCAGGGGAGTTCATTGTCACGATAGGTGCGTTCCAAGGTGATAGTTTGTCTGGAAACCTTTTCACCCTGTATTTGGCTGGCGCACTTTACCACCTTCGTGCCTTTATGTCTTATCTAAGACCCAACCCTCCGTTTGCTGAAAACCTGCTACCTCTTGAGTGGGAGTACGCAGACGACACAGACTTCACAGACGAGGATAAAAAGAATTTGGAGTCCATGTTACCAATATGCAAGGAGATATTGGAGGAGTGGAATCTTTTTGTCAACGAATCAAAAACAGAGTTCACACATATCTATCTGGCCGAGAAGAACGAAGTTGATGACAAAGGAGAGCCACTTCGAGGAAGAGAGCCCTGGAGATCATCTATATCACTTGGTTCCAAATTGTGCAGCAACGAGGACATAAAAAGACGATGTATTCTGGCAAATCTTGCTTTCCAAACCTACAAGAAAGTTTGGGAACAAGGTAAACGCATACCTCTTAAGACCAGACTTAAGATCTACGAAGCCCAGGTGGTCTCCGTCTTAATGTATAATTGTAGCTGCTGGGCAGCTTCAAAGCAGCTACTGAGTAAACTGGATATTTGCCACAGAAAGCATCTGAGGCAAATCATCAGAATGACTTACCCTAATATAATCAAAAACGACACCCTTTACAAGAGATGTGAAGTGGTTCCACTCAGTGAGCGTGTTGCATGTGCACGATGGAGGATGCTCGGACATGTCCTTCGCAGTGATAACAACTCACCTGCACAGCTTGCATTACACTTTGCAGTAGAGAGTCAGAGTACTAAAAAGGGTAGAGTAGGTAGACACCAGTCGAACTTGCTTAAGACTATTAAATTTGATTTAGGTAGCAGGAACATTCCATTTGTAAATACAGACGATTTGTACAATTTAAGACTTTTAGCCTCTGATAGAGCGGGATGGAAGAAGTTGTTATAGCTTGTGTATCAGTTTTTCTTTTTTTCTGGCTACTTATCAGATCTTTAAGATGTTCATTTATGTTCTATTTTTGATTTGAATAAAGTTATATAATAAATAGTGACAGGCTTAGCGCCGCCCCGTAATTTCGATCCATGGGCAGGATCAAATCTGCCCATGATCATGTATGGCCTAACAACTAAACTTTGTACATCCTAACCTAGTGGTGACCTGTAAACGGTTACCTATTTTACATCACAATACGTGATTTTCGTTACAAAAACGAGGCAGGTACACCTACCCTCTAACCTGAAATATCATCCTCATGTTGGAGTCCCTTATAACCCCAGTATAGTCCTAATAGCTCATGTCTAGCAATTTCAGTGGGAACCGTAGACCCTGCTATTCTAACTGCTCAAAGTCAATGCTGTGTGCAAGATTACGCACATTTATTCGTGACTTTCAAACAAATGATCGACAAAAATATGCTGGTTGTTGATTCGGCAAACAGATTACCTACGTTTAGAAAGTTCAGGCTCTATAGCAGCACATGGAATGATTCGAAAGCAATTGGTACGAAAGTAATTGATACGAACGCGATTCAACAACACCGTGACTGTAAAATAAACGATTTTTGTTCTTTGATAACACTATTTATTTACAATGAGGTTTCCAAAATGATTACTGTTGAATGATTACAACAAAAATTGATAGTAATATAGGTGAACGACCCCTTATAATGTGAATCAGTTAAATCACATGAATCAGTTAAATTACTAAATCAGCTTTCTCAAGTTCACTTTGCAGTCTATTCCGCTGGTCTAACCAGACGAGCACGAGATCTCCTGGCGAACACCTCTAAAACAGCGCAGATACAAACAGAGAGGCCAGAGCATCCAACAACCAGAAAGCATCCTTGAGTGTATGTCATAAACTTTATCACCATCAGAGCCACCAGGTGACCAGCATACATTGATAGCATCCACGATATTATCCATAGAGATGAGGCCTGGGACTTGTTCTTTCTAGTGAATCTTCTTTTCGCAAGGATCACTTGTGTCTCCTCCAGCGCCGGAAGTGCAGCAATTGCAATGAATAAGCTTCCAAGCCCGATGAAAAATGTCCCAGCGTAAGCTAACTTAGGGACGATGTCGAACAAACCCCACAAATTTTGTCCAGGAAAGATGAGAAAGAGTCCTATGATAGAAAGGAGAACTCCGACTATCATTGTTTTAAAGTTAGACAGCCAGCCCATTTGTAGAATGTACCCTGCTACAGCTGATCCGATTATAAATGATACGAACATGACGGTCACGTAGGTGCTGCCCTGGCCTGTCTCCATTGCAAACTTGTCTTGTAGGTAAGGGGTTGTGATAGCTGAGGCATATCCTTCGATCATAGCAGTCAGACCTTGACCAACTAGAGGAAATATCACCAACCAAGAGAGACCATTTTCACATGATTCATCGGAGTTTGAGTTCTGGGATGTCATAGCCTGCTTATGACTATGAGATTGTCCATTTTCATGATTGACTTCTTCAGCTTGAGCTTTCCGATACACAAGGTCCGAGGTTCTTGGCATGATAAAGAAATTATACAGCCAGATAGCTACACAAATCAGACTAACAACAAAGTACGGCTCGTTGAAGCTGTGAGCCTGATTCTTCATGACCTGTTGATTTGGTCGTTGAGTTCGTTGGTACACTATGATCCATAGGTTGCTGCCTTTCCTCTAGGAGTTCAGCTTCGTCATCTGTGTGATCGATTTCGCTCATATATTACTGGAAAAAGAGATAAAAAATGAAATACAGGGTACGAATAGTGATAATAAGTAGAATAATGTTAATGAGAAGCAAGTGTAAGTAAAATAACATTACTGTGTAGAAAAGAATTAAAGTAAACAAGTGGCTATACTAGTGGGTAAAAGTACGTAGACACAAAACGAGTGAAATGTGAAGTGAGTCGTCACTCGTTGGTACTAGATATGAAACTGGACCCCGGCTTCACGTGATTGTTAACCTCGTATTGCGTAGGTTAGTTGAAAGTTGCTCAGAAGATTAATAATGAGTTAAAAGTGTGAGGACTTCGTTGAGATAAGATAATTCAATAAGTAGAAGCCCCCTTTGAGTAAGATGGGGGTGTTATGCCTCCAGTAGTGTCATGAATGGGGCTGGGTTTATCTGTGCGTTGATTGGATAACTCAATAAATTCAGCCGATAACCGTTGCACTTGAAGTGTTCTTACGTTGATTTTTAAGATTATTAACCATGCTATTGCACCCAAGGCCAAAGTTAACATGGTTAGACACGTTGACCAAATAAATTCCAGCTGTGGGAATTTGTTGGAGTGATACTGATACTGGTACGTTGATAACAGGGGTGATAAGACTGTTAAGCGAAGTGTTGTATTCCTTACATATATTCCCAAATAATTGGGAAATTTCGGTTGAGTCAATAAAATCAAAAGGCGTTAAATTTGCCGTAAGATTAACCGTACGAATCGGCTTACGTTGAATATTAGGGGAAGTTAGTTTAGCATCCCCGACTTGGAGTCCTAAAATATTATTCCAAGGCACGTAGGTAGTCCTTTGGCTAGGAAAGTTAATTAAAGTGGTCCAACCTGAGCTGTTAACTGCAAAGGTATCGTGATTTAGATTATTGCGGATTAGAACACCTACCGTTGATACTTTGTAGGAGTAATGGTAACGCTGCCCGAACCAACATCTCTAATCAGAATCTCCATTGATGGTACGGTGAAAAGGGTGCATGCGAAGCTGTAAACAATTGAAGGGTGACCATCAATGAAGTGACTTCATTATGAACATAACTTCATTATGAACCGTGAACGTGACCAATATTAATTATTCTACTTTTAGGAAACTAGTAGAGACTAGAGGTAGTGATAAATTAGCATTCATTTTGTGGGAGTTATAATTGCTACACTTTTATTATTATATATTGACCTCACTGGTTTTACTTATTCAAATTTTACTCGCCATTTGACAGATTAGATGAAATGTTTGGCCAGAAACCAATTAATCTGCAGTTAATTGAGGTACTGGAAGTCAAAATCCCGAAGAAAATTACAAAATCATACTCATGTCCCTTTTTCTATCCCATTTTCAGTTTTTGAAGATGAAATTTTCAGGACCGAAATATTAAAGTTTTGACTGAATTTCTGACCCGCAACCAATCAGTCAGCTAACTATAGATTACACATGACTCGATTGCGTTGCTGGAAGTTAAATTGAGGTCGGAGGAAGCTCGCAACAGAAAGCTTAAAAAACGAAAATTTGTTTTTTCTAATTTCGGTCCCATTTAAATTTTCAAATATAAAAATTTCTGAACACAAAATTGACAGATTGGATGAACTTTTTGCCCAGAAATTAATTATAGTCAGTTAATTAAGGATGGTATGAAACCAAATTGAGGTACTGTAAGTCAAAATCCCAATTAAGATTATATTTAATTTTATACATTGTTCTATGTAATTGTATGTAAGTGTAAGCAAGATGTAAATGTAATATTGCGGCAAATTGTAAATGTATACATCTAAAGTTTGCTTTCCAATATTACAGCTTGATAACGTATCTTCTGGCTCAAGTAAAGTTAACATCACTACTTTGCTACTAAAAATAGTTTAATCTATTGCTTACTTAGAATGATTGTTTGTAGTTTAAGTAAAAGAATTAAGGTTCATTTCTAGTTCTTGCTTTGCTTCAAAAGAATAGTAGTTTATTTTTTGCTTTGCTTCAAAAGAATAGTAGTCTATTTTTTGCTTTGCTTCAAAAGAATAGTAGTTTATTTTTTACTTTGCTTTGAAAGAATAGTAGTTTATTTCTTACTTTGCGAGTGATAAGATTGGATTTCTACAGACATTTTAAACTAATCAAAACAACAGCGGGGTATGCCTACACGAAACATACAGTACCGCAGTGATATTATATCAAATAGAACGGTAAGATACATTCTCATTCTCACAATATCGTAGTGTAAACTCGATTCATGTTAATCCAAAAACGCACAATTTAATGTTAGCGATTTTTTGAAACAGTTCATACAGCAGCCCAGCACTGATAACAGCCAAGTTTTCAAAAGAGTATTCATAGTATCTTTTGTAGATTTGGGGGATTTTTAGAGGAAATTCTCATATCATGCATCATCCATTATTTTCACCCGCAGAAATATGAGACGAGAATAGACATAGAATCAAATGTGATAGCAGACAAAACTTGGTCGCACCAGCTCTTCCTGTGTTGTGATGATTGCGGACTTTGTTGTATCACTTCCATCTTACCGTGTGTCACTTTCGGGGCTAACGCCAGACAGATCGAGGCAGGTTAGGTAAAATCTAATATGATAAGTTACCGCTGAATGGTTATGAATTATAACAGCTGAACAGTTAGTAACACTTGAATAGTGTTACCTACACCTTAATTACAACATGTTAAGATAAGGAGCAGAGCTGTGACCAACCTAAATGACTATCAGAAGCAAAACTGTGATAAGTTAAGGGGTCGTTCACATATAATGTAATCACTTTTTGGACAATTTTTACCCCCCTCCCCCCTCCGTAATCAGTTTTACACATTGAAATAGCTATTGTGTCAAAATTACACATATAGCGTAATCATTTGAAACCCCCTAGCCATCCCCTCGGCTGATTACGTAATTATAGTATTATGTAAATTACGACCCCTAAAGCTAAATTAAAGCTAATTGATTTCAGGATCATGTTTTGGGCACGCTCTGTGCTGTCTTATCCCATTTGTGAACTGTATTGCTCTTCAGAAGATTAGAACTCGGATCCGTATGAGATACGGCATCAGTGTAAGTATTATTATAGGCCAACATTTAAACTCAGATTCATATTATTATTAGAGATTATGGATTTACGTAACCAACTTACTTTGTGATTCTGTTTCGCATTTTGTTCAGATATTACTACCATAGATGGCATTTGCATTTATGATGTTTTCTATATTGTCAGAGCAGAGCAAGTTTGTGGTTAATTATATTTATATTAACACCATTTGTTTCTCCTCAACCCGAATTTGAGTCCACAAAATGTGCTAAATACAGTTTTTAGCAATTGCTCCTTCATAATATTTTGTATCATTTCTTAAAAAGTCACACTTTCTGTTGTCCACCCCTGCATATCGTGACATGTTCATATTTCAGGGCTCAGCATTTAACGATTTCGTGATGGTCTGTTTTTGTGCGCCATGTACAATACTTCAAGAAGCTAAAGAACTGAAGATAGAACCGGGAGATAACATAGCAAGAACATGGTGAAGAAGAAACTCCTAGACTTTAACTAGAAACTTCTAGAAGAATAAACTTTTCGGATGGGGTTGTGTATTTCACGGTTTCTAGGAGACAAGGACCGAGGAAGATGGGCTTCATTTTATAAGTATTACGACTTTTCATAGTTCTATTTTCATGATCATCATATTGAAACTACTATAGTATTTACACTTACAGTACGGTTACTAGACAAGAGGCGGTAGTTTCTGAGAGTTAATAATATATATTAAGTAATAATAAGTAAACTGCAACTGCAGTTATAACCGTAATTTGATGATCCAGATCACAAAAATAAAGTGTTAATTTTTCACGTTAGCGTTTTTGTTTTGACATAGGTACGTTGCATGCCACTTTTCGCGCGCGCCGCCGAAGGGATACGAAACATGTATCAATTTTTGTTCATGAAACTGTACTTCAATATACAAGAAGTTATACCACGAGATTAGAGTTCAGAATATAATATGATGCGACACAAATAACATGATGCGACACAAATTATTAAGCCAAAGACACGTAAGAAGGCAACACAAAAAAAAGGTTTAGTAGTTATACCATGAAGGATAGAGGGGACACTTACCACTGTAATTATCCATTAATTACAGTAATTATTCATTCTTTAATGACATATTGATAAGTATGGAGACACAAGTTTGCCAGATCAATGCCACAACTTGGCAAAGAGAGCACAAGAACAGCGAAACAATTCCTTAGGGGTCGTTCACATATTACGTAATCAGCCGAGGGGGGGGGGGTTTCAAATGCTTACGGTTGATTACGGGGGGGGGGGGGGGGGGGGGGGGGGGTTTGGTCGTTGATTACGTAATCAAAATTTAAATTTTTTACCGATTTTCGAAATACCAATTGGACAATTTTCTTTAATTATGTAATCAAAATTTTCGTTTTTTAAACCAATTTTCGTTTATTAAGTGCTTTGCGATTATTTCATTCATTAATCCGTTGTGATAGCTTTTAATAAATAAATGGCTTAACATGAACATGTAATAAAATTAAATCAGTAACAAAATTACGGGGGGGGGGGGGGGGGGGGGGGGGTCAAACCTTGATTACGTAATATAGGGGGGGGGGGTTCGGTCTTGATTACAGTTGATTACGGAGGGGGGGGGGAGGGTAAAAATTACCAAAATATTGATTACGTATTAATATGTGAACGACCCCTTAGTACTGGACATTGTGATCTAAACTACCATATAAATATTAATAAGTTCAAGTCGACAACGGTCCCTAAAACTTGTCCACACTGTCTCATGGAAGAGGAGACAATGAACCACTTTATTGGCCAGTGCCCGAAGTGGTCTTACCAACGGCTACTTTGACTCCTTTTACCTTAGTGTGACAGACATAGTCATAGTGGACAAGTTCTCACTACCAAGGATCATCGGCTTCATACAAGCATCAAAACTATTCACCAAATGCGGAGAAAACAAAGTTTAACTTTTTTTCTCCACTAATTAATATTTTACCGGGGTAAGCACAGGGCTCCAATGCTCTATCTTACAGTGGTCATGATCTATCCTATAGTGATAATGACCACAGCCCCGGGCCCTCTACGAAGAAGAAGAAGACATGTTGATAAAACAATTCGAGTGCCAACCATTTGAATCAGTGTAAACTGTTGTTCCTCAATTTACTGGTGTACCTCAATTTTTACCACAATTTACCTAAATTTACCACTATCCATCAATAAATTTAAAGTTAATAGAAGTAAAACTAGTACTATAATAGCAGTAATTGACGTTATATATAAACCAATATAATAGTAACAACTAACATAACATACATCACTGACTCCTAAATCATGCACATACATCTTAAAATCAATTAAAACCACAGTGCATAGTAAACAGTAACCACCTGACCAATTACCAACAAAACTTAGTGGGTGGGGTGATATTTCGAGGGAAAATTTTTTTACTTCGTACTTATAGTAAAATTATTTACCCGCACACTGAAAAACTATTTAACAAATTTGGAATAAGAATAAGTATCCAAATGTACATATAATAATTAATAAAACGTTTAACTTACTCACAAATGATGAGTGACAGACATTGATAATGATAGATTTACAGTCAAATTCTGAATAAGATACAAAAAGATAGGTACATAACGGTAGTAAAAATCGTTCCTCGTACAAATTTCATTCCGAATTTTCAATTTACACAGAAATGGTTTTGTATAAAATTAGTTGCACAAACGTTACTGCATTTAATGTATCAATCTCTATACTTAATGCTGCTATAGAAAACTTAACGGATGTATTTTATATCCGACCCGAAACAATAATCCGAACATAGTTTAGCGAATGCAAAAAATAATTGTGTTTCAATGATTTAAGTCTAATTAATTCAATTAACGCTAAATAAGTTCCTTATATTGAGTTATGTTAAGTACAAACAGTAATACAAACACAACTATAAATTTATAAAAATCCTAATATATCCCGAGCGCTGCCGCGTATCAGAGAAACAACCGTACTATTATAATATTATACTTATAGTGTATTGATTTAGAATTGGCAGTTTTTATAAATTTTCGGTTAGGTCAGCCGATCAAAATACTCAACAAAATTAATCCAATTGTTACCGTATCACTTTTATTCGATTCTTCGGTTAAAAATACGTTTAGTACAGAATTCCTATAGCGTCTCAAGTAGAAATGCCGTAACAATTGGAAATCTCAACTGCCAATTCTAAATCGTGGCACTTTTATAAGTTTATATTACGGGTTAATCATGATAAAATGACGCGCATGCAATGAATGGTATAGTGATAATGCGATAATGAGATAATACGATAAAACAACGTTTCATTGCATAGTAACAAGAATCTAAAATTGTATTTGAATTACAACAATAAATATAACACTTTGTTACGTTTTGGTTGATGCGTGGGCGTGGTGTATATATATTGACGAACTAATATTACAAGAACTAATAGCTAAAAGTATTTAATTAATTGTCTTTCTTATTTTCTGTTTCTTCGCTTGTACTTGTAGAGGGTGTCTGAGGGGAAGAGATTTAAAAAGCAAATCAAGTTGGTTAAATATGTTATTAAAGTACTGATTATACAGATTTCATAAATTTCAGGTTCATAAGATTTGACTACGCTTCTATGACTATTATATCAGTATCACGCGTAATCATTAATTAAATCCTTTTTTTTCTTGTTAAATAAGATTAAACACAAGTATTGGGTACTACCTAATGTACACGTTATAGTCTAAAATATCCTCTTTTAAAATAAAGCTAAATAGCATTAAGCTTTAAATGAAAACTTAGTTCTATGAAACAATCAATTATTTATTAATCAGTTAATAAATTAATTTTTCTTATGAATATATTAGTATATTGAAAATTGATTGGTATGCGTAATTTTAATAAGTTGGTTGATCAGTTTACAATTTGATTAATTAATTAATTAATAGATGTGAATCCACATCTATGAGGTAACTGAATGTTTTAATACACAGACCTAGTCTTGAGCGTGTTCCTGAACCTTCAAAATAAAAAGCCAATTTTTTAATGACAAGATAGACATTTTTTTAATGCTTATAAAAGAATTTATGAATAAAGGAATTTTTTAATTAAGAAAATTGCGAATTTAAGAATTTATTAGCACCTTATGGTCCATTATACTTTATAAGAGAAATGAGGATTAATTTCATATGAAATTGTTTAGATTAAGAATATAGTTAAGAAATAAACAACTACATCTATATATATATGTTTATTTAATACAATTTTAATTACGCAGTGCTTGACCATATTCTGCCTCTTCAATCACTGTGAGTCGAGTTAAATATTAATTAATTAATTAAATGTTTAATTACACTGACCTCGTCCTCGGAGCGGTCATCCTTGTTCACATCCCCAGACCCACCAGCGATCTTTATTAACAGTTTGATGATGAACGTGAACCAGTAAATATGAAGAATCTGACGGAGAAGGAATTTTTAATTTATTTATTAGAGATTAGAGTATTATCCATCTAAAAGAAACTTCTCGATTCTAACAAACATCATGTGACGTCACACGATTGTGTACGTGACGTCACACGATTGTGTACGTGACGTCACACGATTGTGTACGTGACGTCACACGATTGTGTACGTGACGTCACACGATTGTGTACGTGACGTCACACGATTGTGTACGTGACGTCACACGATTGTGTACGTGACGTCACACGATTGTTTACGTGACGTCACACGATTGTGTACGTGACGTCACACGATTGTTTACGTGACGTCACACGATTGTGTACGTGACGTCACACGATTGTGTACGTGACGTCACACGATTGTGTACGTGAGGTCACACGATTGTGTACGTGACGTCACACGATTGTGTGCGTGAGGTCACACGATCGTGTACACGTGTACGTGACGTCACTTAAAACGTGACTTACCTGAAGAGTGATCAAGAAGGAGCCGTAGAGAAAGTGAACTGGCCAATTGTAAATAGCAGCATTCGCTTCAACAATAGCACAGTGTATAACCCTGATTAAAGTTGTAAAGTTGGTTTATTTACAACATAAAAGTTGGTTTATTAACAACATGATGCATTTTGAAGTTTAATTTTATGATTGATGTTTGTTGCCCAGTCACCACACATAAGCCCCGCGTCTTTCTGGGTCATACAATTTATAAATCTATAAATCAAATAAATTAATTTTTAATCGCTAAAAAGCAGCTAGTCTGAGGTACATCACATAAAACATAGGTATATAAGTACAGGATATGAGAATAAAGTATCGAATTTCTATGTTTACACAGTAATAAAGATCCATTTTAATGGTAAGATTTAAAGATTAAACTTTCATGCTTTAATGCTGGGATCAGGATCATCTTTTCTTCTTTTTTTTAAATTTATTATTTCGGCTTTTTGTTTGCTATCAAAAATAGAACCTCCACTGTCCACAAATTATACCGAAGTGGGTTGCTAAAATAGGCAAATCATTTCGGCAGAGAACTGATATTCTTGTCAAATTAACACGCTAGGATGACTAGACATGATCACAAAATCAAAATAATCAGGAAGACAAGAAGGACAGGTTCTGAACATGCCACATTGATTGATAGATCAGAATTAGCAAGAGAAATAGCAAGTGGGCTGCTGATAGCGTTATGTACCTAGTAGGCAACAGATAGAGCCTGAATACTACCCAGGATGTAGCAAATCCCGTGAATCCACCATTAGCTAGCCATGTCCATTTGATATATATACCCACCTTAGCAGCCTAAAGAAGGGGTAAGAATGAGGGTTAAATGAAGATTTTGAAAAAAGCAACACGCTGATCAAGACTGCCCGCATCTTCAGTTACTACAGCAACAGTTACTACAGCAATAGTTACTACAGCAACAGTTACTACAGCAACAGTTACAACAGCAACAGTTACTACAGCAACAGTTACTACAGCAACAGTTACTACAGCAACAGTTACTACAGCAACAGTTACAACAGCAACAGTTACTACATCAAGTTTTACATCCACTGTAATATTCATGTACACATTTTATAGGATGAAATTTCAGCAACAGAAGATGCGAGCAGGACCTGACCGCGGTTAGTGTACTGAAACATCGAACCAGGTAAACCAGGTAACTAACGTAACCGAGTACAGGTAACCCAGGTAACTAACGTAACCGAGTACAGGTAACCCAGGTAACTAACGTAACCGAGTAGAGGTAACCCAGGTTACTAACGTAACCAAGTACAGGTAACCTAGGTAACTAACGTAACCGAGTACAGGTAACCAGGTAACTAACGTCACCGAGTACAGGTAACCCAGGTAACCCAGGTTACTAACGTAACCGGGTACAGGTAACCCAGGTAACTAACGTCACCGAGTACAGGTAACCCAGGTAACCCAGGTTACTAACGTAACCGAGTACAGGTAACCCAGGTAACCCAGGTTACTAACGTAACCGAGTACAGGTAACCCAGGTAACCCAGGTAAATTGTGGACTTGTTTGACACGTGACAGTGGTCCTGGAGTTTGATTGGTCGATAGTGGATACAGATCGATTGGTGCGGTGGATTGCTGTCACGTGCTTCACCTCCCCACTAGGACCCCCAATATATAATCGGTTAAAGTTGGGTGTTAGCCTGGTCCAGAGTTCGATGTTTCATCACATAACATCATCACAATAAACTCACTTATAAGGTAACATGACTAGTCTGCTTGAGAAAAAGGTTACAGTAAAGCAACCAAAGAACAGATTACTCCAAAAGTGTTTCTTTACGTAGATGGATGCTTTAGCAGCCTGAACAACAGTTTCAGTTGAGGGCGTTTAAATCAAGTTTGAAGAGAATTCGTGTGGTTAAGAGGAGATACGATAGGTGGTTCACTGTAGTGTCCTGCTCTATGGTCGAGACGCGCTGTTATCGCGCGTCACGCTGCATGACGTCATGCTCACGCTCTATGACGTCATGCTCACGCTCCATGACGTCACACTTTAAAAGACACGTGCTCTGCGCGATTATTATTACGTGTTTAAACCACAGGTGGAGACACTACAGTTTACCGGAGACAAACATTACCTCCAGAAATACGTCGCTGACATCGTGGGTAGCCATCACTATAGCCCCTACTTTGTAGGCACCGCCAAACCAAGAACCCCTGAAAAAAAACAATAATTTAATATTTATGGTGCACTGATTTAAAGTTAGCAGTTTTTACAGAAATATAATATGCTCAGTATATTATTTTTAGAGTTCCTAGCGTTTTGAGTATAAATAGTAATACTGCAAGGCCTTCTTTTGTTATTAATCAACCGTTAATTCCAAATAGTCGCACTCTCCCTCGTGTGACGACATACTACCTGAAGCAATTTCATATATCATAAAGGCAACCTCACGTGACGTAACACTCCCTCACGTGACGTAACACTCCCTCACGTGACGTCACACTCCCTCGCTTGACTCACCCAATAAGAGCAAGTGTAGCAATGTGGTGAAGGAACATCTCCCAAAAATCTTTACGTTTTGTGTCCATGAACTGGGATACCATGAGAGACAGGTAGAAAGATCCTTCTAGAAGGTAGTAGTAGTACAGGCTGAAATACAATATGATAGAAAAATCCTTCTAGTAGATAGTAGTAGTACAGGCTGAAATACAATATGACTTTGGTGATGCTAGGATTATCTATCAACATGTACATTTGCTACACCAGTACCTGAGTACCAGCAACAATTAAAATATTTTACCACTGTGACAGCAAGGAAACTTTAGAGCAAAATATAAACTTCCTTTTTATTAAGATAATAATGTACAATTCATTGTTTGAGTCACTACGGTACATCACACAAAACAATTTCTACAATTTGGATACCTTTTCTTGACAGCCCAAGTGAGATCGGGGAAGCCAACCCAACATAACTGTGTGTTCCATAGGAACTCCTCCTGAAAATTATAGTAATATATAATACTATAAGACTGTATTGTAAATCAGAATCATGTTTTTAATCAGAAAATTTGTTAGTAATTAATGTAAAAATTAAATTTCCCTAGTAAAACGAACTGTAACAGTATTCCTGGCTATTTGGGAGGATCAAAGGAGTGCAAGTGTTTAGTGTTACTGGCAAGTAGGTATAATACCGACTGGCTGTTAGACGGCTGTTAGACGGCTATTAGCCGTGTTACTTACGGGCCACAGAACACTAACACCGTAACTAAAGGCGGTAGTGTAGAAGAACAGTCTCCACCTAAAGAGGGGAGGTCAGTGAAGTGTGAAAAGAGGGAATTTTCAGATTCAGCTCAGAAGTATATATACTAATCATGAGTCATGTCTCATGTCAGAGTCACTGTCACGTGTCACTGTCACGTGTCATTGTCACGTGTCACTGTCACGTGTCATTGTCACGTGTCATTGTCACGTGTCATTGTCACGTGTCATTGTCACGTGTCATTGTCACGTGTCATTGTCACGTGTCATTGTCACGTGTCATTGTCACGTGTCATTGTCACGTGTCATTGTCACGTGTCATTGTCACGTGTCATTGTCACGTGTCAGAGCAAATCTAAGCCCCTTCCAGTGATTACCATGACAAGAAATGTTAAAACTCACAGTGCTTCTTTGAACTTGTTTAGTTTGCTGGGCATTAGCTCGCGTTGTTTTCTCCGCACCCATATTTCTACTGTCCTTATCTCCATATCTGCAAAGTCGGCGCGTGTCAGTGCAAAATTTAAAGATACCTTTACAGTTTTGGAGCAATGATAAAGTTTTGAATTCAATGTCAAAATGATATCACGGAACTAATATTTCAGGGCAATCCGTAGTGCAAGGAGACTTTAGAGAAGTTTCAGGGAAATTCGTAATTCGTCACAGCTCCAGGAGTTTCGTAACAAATTGTCAATTTGTCAAGTTATGAAAATTCTACCAATACCAATAAAGAGTGGCCGGAGTGTCAAAAAAGTGTTAAAAAGTGTTAAAAACTTTACACCGGTAGATAAATTAGATAAACCTGCATCTTGAGCAGCAGCCACTATTTGTTCTGAAGTAGGTTTCTTGTTCTTCTCTATCATAGCTTCCAGTTTAGCGTTAGGCCCTGAAACATTCGTGCTGAATTCATATTTACAAACCAATTACAGGCAACTAGCAGATGAAGTTAGTGTTGTAAATATATATATATAATATATAGTAATTTTGGTAGTTTGCAATTCAATTTGTACGAGGAACTAGAGAACTGCTTAATTTAATTGCATGCGGCTGCTACTTGCAAACCGGACTAATGGCATTGCTGTAATGCACAAAGTTTAACACAAATAATGCAATAATGCAGTTAAGATCCGGTCATGCTCATCTCAAGTTCTCTGGCTAGGAATTGCCAACCTTGTGACAAAAGAGTGACGAGCAGTCTTGAAAGACCGGCAACGACGACAGAGAGATAAGAAGCAATAAGAAGAATCAAACGTGACTACGGAATCTCGATTTTTCCCATTATTTGCGACAAATTTTATGTATAGTTTAATATACCGCGAAATGTAATTCGCGGTATCGCGATTTTTGGCCAAAATAATCGCGAAATCCTTTTGTCCCTGACGAGGAGTCAACCCGGCCATTACACTTAAACTTAGTTAACGTATCAGTCGCCCTATCGGCAACTAGCTTTAGACTAAATGTGGATAATTGATCGGGGTTTTACTCTTTTATGACATTACGATAGATTGTACGTCTTAACATCTAATGTTCTATCTTTTTGTTACGAATTCGTCAAATTGTGTTTTAAGTCTTGTTAAAGTAAAGCTCTAACTCAAAGCATTTCCCCGCAGCAAATAGCTTTTCGTTATTAGTACTTTCTGAAAACAGCCAATTACTCATCAAGTTTTCCACCTAGAAGCTGTACCTGCAGGAGTTCCTCCAAGTTTGTGTCTTAGTCCGAACCATCTTCCGATAGGCTCTGCTATCAACCTGGAATATATATAATACAGTTATCAAGCAATGCAAGTGGTTTTACAGCAACCAACGTACGTGACATGTGTGTTGGTTTTAAATTTGATGATACAAGTGTGAAACCGGATGTTGCTTTTTGTCTGAAAATTTGCTTGTCACTTGCCAAAACGGTGCAGCAGTATGAAAATCAGCTGATTATCTAGCCAGTGAAATTGAATGTGTTTCGAGCACGCGCGGCTCGGCTGAAATTTAAATTATTTGCGCAGCATCATGTACTACAATATGACAAGCGCGTCACAAAAAACACACATAAACTCTATATCGTTTAAAACGTTGTCTTAAGTTTTTGGCAAGCTGGGCCAAAGTTTTAGTTGAATCCCTAGAATTGCTTAAAGATGGTTTGGCAACTACTACAGTCATTACACACCAATTACATACAGTGAACCACTCTCAAACTATTCTGCACATCGTATCTACGATAGGGGTAGGTCTGCAGTTAAATCCCCGAAATGATTCAATTGTGTATTGGGTATATCATCATACAGGTAGGAAGTACTTTTCCACTAGATAAAGCTGGAGCAAGCGGGCCACGAGATGGGGGCGAGCCACAGACACGGAGAATACATCGCCTCCTTTAAATTTTGCTAACGACACTTCCTGGAGACCAACTATACTGCTTAGTACATACATACTGTTTACTTAAGGCTACACCAGCGAGCATGAAGTAACATCTGCCACCATGTATAAGAGGTCACTAGTAGTTCTACTCAACAATAGATTTAATTAACATGGATGCAAATGATCTTATTTTAAGTACAGTGGTAAATGGTAAGATAAGATTTTTTTATTATCAATAAACTTTCAATTGTTACACAAATACATCATATTATTTCAAAGAAAATTTCGCCGAATGACCTTACATGCCTTGACAAGTGACCGATTGAATGTTTAATCGTTTAAATAATCTTATCTCATAATCTCTTATCATCTGACCCAGATGAAATGTACGAAGATAAGGATATAATCAGCACTAAGTGTCTACACTTAACTTTAGAGGGTCTAGATTTCTTGATTGGCTTACTGTAGGTCCAATATAAACTTAATTAGATTTATTATGACGTAATCATGTGATGTGCATTCTACTGTAGTTGAACTATTAATAGACTCAACAGGACATTGATATAATGGTAGATTTTACTTTCAAGAACATCCACTGAAACTTTAAATGACTCTTTATACTATAATACAATTAAATCTGATTGGACAGCATTGAGGATATATTTCCTCAGTGTTATTATGCTAGGAATATGGAATATGGACCAGTTAGAGAAAATGCATTGTTCAGCAGCATTTTGTGTAGTAACCAGTCACCGGATGTTGATGTCACTTTACACAGCTTGATAATCAATCAGACTAACATGCAGATTGTACACCTCCAAATATTGATTCGATCATCAAAATATAATACACAATTATACAGCAACTTATATCAAAACTGTATATGAAAACTTACAATTTAAATAAAAAACAATGGCGATAAAGAATGTTTAGGATGGGGAAATGCTCAGACTGGTTAGGGCAGGCACAAGTAAACAGCATTTGACTGTACTATATGATTGGGGAAACCAGTAACATCCATGTTTGAGCACACGTGCTCTGGACTCTTACTCTGGACTCTTACTCTGGCAGACCCCCTCCCCCCCCCCCCCCCCCTGTGTTATGTCACGCCTGTCACGGTGCTATGATGACACGACAATCTCATTCCATAAACTTTGCTTACTTAACAATCGCGTGTGCCTGCCGTCTCTTATTTCAAAAGCATATCTACATTGGGGATAACAGGAGTTTAATTGAATTCCCCTATCAGTAGTATTTCATAAAAACGAGTCACATTCTACAAATATGTATCTCGTCTAATTTAATCACAGGGATAAGGTGCAATAGAGGCTTTTTATGAGTTTTATCCGACCCATTGTGTAGTAAACGGCTTGTAGTAGTAAACCAGTGATGGGCTGGCCTCAATAGGATCTTACATAAAGTTATATTATGATTTTATCTAACACTCATTTTACTTCGGACATTCTAACAGACATATTAGTTACAAGGGTGTAACCAGCCAATTACAGGAAACCTTCTAGAAAAAAAATGTTTATCCTTATAATTATTAAATTATGACGCAGTGAAACTATCAGACTACGATATATGGGACTTGCCACCCCATGGCAACATTAAAATATATACTATATATAGTGTTGAAAGCATTAAAAAATATGTGTTTCCAGGACCCCTCATTTTTCTAAAAGATGAAATGAAATGAGGTATTTATTTATGAAGGAGGTATTTATATCCCGCTCATATGATTAACCAACAACACAAGGAAGGTGGTTAACCCAAGGTTGTTAAATACGTCAAATTTTCGTGAAAGAATACGACGTATTCGGTTCTAATAAAGAATACGTCGTAATACGCCGGAATACGGTAATTTCTATGGATTGTTTAATACGTCCACGAATACGCCATAATACGCCATAATACGCCGTAATACGCTGATTTGTCAAAAATAAACATTACACTAGCTGCGCGCCACCCTCATCATTGATCATGCATTAAAGGAGTGCAGTTATACATGATAACTTAAATTTGTAATCAAATTTCATGGATAATCCGATAAGCTAACATTTTTTGCGAAATTATCAATTACATATTAATACATATTTAATGATTTTGATGTTCAGAATTTAAAGACCGTCCGCGATCAATTTCAACTTCAAGCCAAAAGCCGCGCAACAACTTGCCGTAATACGGGGGAATACGTCAATTTTCGAGGATTAATACGTATTCGTATTCCAATACGTATTCCCTCCTAATACGTATTTAACAACCTTGGGTTAACCATGTCAGAGCGGCTGTCTGTGAGTGATGTGAGAAAATGTGTAAAAGTGAACAAAAGTATAACTCATAGACAGCTTCATCATGGAATAACTGTCCTCCCCTGTGAAGTGTGACTATTATTACATTTACCTTTACCTTTAAATACAGTACCTTGGATCAAGCTGGATCGATTAGACCATGACAATAAGCACGTGACTCGTGCTTGGTCACACGTGACCAGTAAATGTGACCAATAGAACAGCACTATAATAGCTACATTATATTAGTTCACTAAATTCCACCAGCAAGGTATTCAAGGCACCAAAATAGAGCTGCAAACAGGTCATACTCATACCACAGTCATAGATGCAAAGAATCAAGTTCCAAATAACACTTAGCATTTCTTTAAGGCCGGCACAGTTCAGACAAGGGCTCACAAGGCTGGTCGGTTGTTTCAATCAGTATATTTTAGTTTTTTAGAAAGTAAGTTTAATCAAGCCCAAAAGTTTATTAAACAAGCTATCTGCGCATGATCATAAAATTGAATTTGTAGGAGCAAAGATGGCAAATATTTTGCTGATTAAACTTTCTGTGGCGTACTGTGTAGATCATGAGAGTGTATTGCAAAGTGTAGAATGTTATCATGCATCAATTCTAGCTGTACTAATATAGTTAAGCAACCTATTAATAACTTAAATACCTTTAATATTGTTGAGAGATTATTCTAATTTGGTTATTTCACTCGTTAATTCAGTATTAATTTGGTACTTCAATAAAACTCTTGTTAACTTTTGATATAGTTTGTGTCAGCCTTTTTAGTGTGTGCTTGACTAGGATGTTCGAATAATTTGTCTCATCTAGAAGTTTCTGTAGAAACATTTGTGATTTATCACAAGTATAAGAGTCAGCAATTTTAAGTTTACAATTTTAAGTTTTCTTATGGAGGCTTCAAGAAGCTTGAAGTGATTTTATTAGAGCAGCAGAATTCCAAGTTCGGTTCTCAACATTTCTGTAAACCCGCTCACATGACTTATCCATTAAAATACTAATATAATAACTGCTCCTTCATAATATACATGTATACTACATATTATCATGTAACGTATGGATAGGAAAATTATTATTGATTCGCATTGTTGTGATGTTTAAAGTTCGAAATTTCTGATAATTCCGTAATCCGTATTATATGCGACCAAAGGAAAACTTGCTCGGAAAACTTGCTCTTCTCAGGAATGAAGGAACTTAAGCAGCCATTATATTAAAACCATGGTGTCGATGAAGCTATTCCTGGAGGAAAATCGTATTACACTGTCGTACCTTTGGCCTTTATCTAATACTTGAAATACATAAGTTTTTAAAACTTAAACAACAAATACAATAAACAAGGATTAACACCACAGCCACACTATTCAAGACAAGTTCCTCATTTCAAACACTGAATTTAAACAACTGCTTACCAGCCAGGTATTATAAGTTAATAAAAACTCTCTTAATATAACACTATTGTTATATACAATAACACTATATTATATACAATAACACTATATAACACTTTTGTATTACAACTAATTTGTGTTCTTCTTATCAACCGTCTGATGAACCGTATGTAATAGATTTGTAGTGTTGTAATTAGTGTGTATTGTGTAACTACTTCAGCAAGTTTTTGCTACAATTGTTTATTGGCCAATGAGGGAGCTCCAACTGATACCCTGGATACCACGTGTTACCCTGGATACCACGAGTTACCCTGGATATCACGTGTTACCCTGGATACCACGTGTTACCCTGGATACCACGTGTTACCATGGATACCACGTGTAACCCTGGATACCACGTGTTACCCTGGATACCACGTGTTACCATGGATACCACGTGTTACCCTGGATACCACGAGTTACCCTGGATATCACGTGTTACCCTGGATACCACGTGTTACCCTGGATACCACGTGTTACCATGGATACCACGAGTTACCCTGGATATCACGTGTTACCCTGGATACCACGTGTTACCATGGATACCACGTGTAACCCTGGATACCACGTGTAACCCTGGATACCACGTGTTACCATGGATATCACGTGTTACCCTGGATACCATGTGTTACCCTGGATACCACGTGTTACCCTGGATACCACGTGTTACCCTGGATATCACGTGTTACCCTGGATACCACGTGTTACCCTGGATACCACGTTTTAATTATCTGAGATCCTAATGCAATGTAATGGATATCGTACTCTAATCTCGTGCAAGAACTGGTTTATAGCAACTTATGGGATAATCGTTTATTCATAAAATATAAAATATACAGGTTACAAAGGTCGAACTCATTAAAGATGTCTTTATGCTGGCCAGTTTCTCAGAATAGAATTGATTGTATTTTACAACTTTCAGCAGGTAGTTAATGATAAATGTGTTGTCACGTAAAGGAAGTAATAAGGAACTAAATAATATGATACTATAAATAGCACTTAGGGTCACAGCTGTATTCATCAGGTGAATTTTATTTGATTTTACACAAACTTTTACATTATGTTAAAATCATCTAGAATCTACAGAACATTTTAGGTCAGACGGTATATTACGTCATGTATATTGCACAATCCCTTGTTAAAGTGATTACAGTGGCCCTAGATTGGGAAATTAAATTACAAATACAGTTCGGGTATTAATATGGAGGTTAACATTAATTTTCCTGAAAAGTGACTGGAGCGATTAACCTATCAGCTTGCACCATTGTCCAATAAAATCCCAGAATTATTGTCACGTGTCAGAACATGTATACTTCATCTTCACACCAGTATCCAGATCTACTGTACAGACGAAAAATTACAAATAATAATCATTTTTGAGACAAACTAAGTGTCTTATATCAACAAGAAAGACTTACCTCTCAAAAGTGAAGCGGCAAATAGTAAGAACAACCGCCAAAACAATAGCTATTCTGACTTCTTTCATCGAAGGATAAACGTAACCTTCTGGAGGTGTCTGCCCTTCCATCGGCCACTTTTGTCCATGCTTATTATGGTAGACCTCTCCTGATAACACAAAAAAACATGAAATAGAAGTATATATATTATAATAATAGTGGTTGTGTTTTTAAAATACCAATCAATACCTGTTAATATGGAAGGTAAGATTTCGACCCAATTTAGCCCCAAATTCTAAATTAATGGTATATCAAAGTTTAACTCATCAAATTAGTTAATCATAACATCATGTTAATTAGTTAATTAGTTAATTAGTTAATTAGTTAATCATAATATCAAGAATAACATCATGAATAACATCATGAATAACATCATGAATAACATTCCAAACTCACCAAACCACCACAATGTGTCAAATGGTTCATCAAAAACTCTTTTGTAAGTTTCCCATGAGGGTACATGAATACCCGCCCATGTGGGTATATTATTTTCCATCCTGTGTAATGAAATGATTTAGAATGAAAATGTATTATATGTGCTACAAAGAAATAAAATGGGTTCAGCAGAACAAGAATTCTCGACTTAACGATGTCGCAAGAGTTTGAATACACGTTAATAATACTTTTTAAATATAGTAATTTTCAAGTCACATGACCTGATTTCTAGCCACATTTTGGATTTCTGTTATGTGAGCATTTTGTCTCTCCTTACAAGCATGTTGCTGCAAAGCACATACTGCAGCCTTGTCTCAGTATATCATTAAGGTTGTGACATTAAACAATTCTTTTTAATCAAAGAAAGATAATCTATGTCCTCAGACCTAAGCCAGTCTAGCTTTTAATTGCAGTCACATCCTTTATTAATCAATTCATACCGTTAATGTATTAACACGTGTTCAGTGGAGTAACATTTTATGCTGGCACCCCATGTTCCCACAGAACGCCACATTTGGTGCCCCACCCCTAGGAAAAAAGGTAAAATTAGATGAATGAATCGATTTGACGGGATTTTCTATTAGAATTTATAAAATAATGTGTCCCAGAGTGAAATGTGCATTTTTGTTACTACTTTAGTCTTTAGTCGAATTCTACAAAATTGTCCTACATTGAAACAATGATTTGGCACCTCTAAAGATGGTACCCCTGCAAGGTGATGCCTTTTTTTTTTAAATTTGAAAATTCAATTAATCATTATATAATATATAAATCAAGCGTTACATTTCAGCCATGCAAAATAACAATGACATATTTTGATATACTAATTGATAAATGGTACTGCAATATAAATTGCTTAATGTTTGGCTGGATGACAACTAACGAAAAAAATAAACTTGATTACATAATAATTAATTCGGCTGAACCAACACATAGCAAGAGCCACATTAACGTTGGAGCTTGCTGACTCTTTTCTTGTGTTTAACATAATGAATTACAGCAGTAGACATTTAGTAATCATAGATTCCTCTTGCAAAAGAAGTTGCTTGTCTCTGTGAGGCCTACAAGTGATACCTGTGCTGTTGCACAAGTTCTGTGCATGATAAAGCGCACCCCAGACATGTTTTATCCAAATTAGATGTCTGCTCCAGGAAACATCTAATGAAGATATTGAACATACACTGGCTAACTGGGCCATTAGGAATAAATAGTTCATAGTTGTACCCTCGCTGCAGTACAGTCCAAATCACTGAGAGGATAAGAAAAGCTAGTTGGACATCAGTAAACGACCGGGGGTAGGATTTGGCCGGGGCCGGGAATGTCCAAATTTTGCCGGGGCCGGGAATTGGCCGTTCTGGAATTTGGTCGGGGCCGTGAATTTAATAAATCAAAATTGAAAATCCATTTTAAGATTTATATGAAAGTTTTAGGCCGATTTCGATCAAAAATTTTAGGCCGATTTCGATCAAAAATTCAAAATTGAAAATCCATTTTAAGATTTATATGAAAGTTTTAGGCCGATTTCGATCAAAAATTCCCGGCCAAATTCCCGGCAAAAATTGAAAATCGGCCGGGCCGGGGCCGGGAAGAAATAGCTCCCCCGGTGCCGGGATTTCACGGCGCCGGAATCCCGGTCGATTACTGGTGGACATAACTTGGCCACATTCTTTGTATGGACGATAACTGCCCAGCAGTCTTAGCTGTCATATTTGCCATAACATCGGGTCAACTGTATAGCAGTATTCATGTAAATGAATATAACTGAGCTGACACATGGGTACATGCTCGATGCATGCAGCCTGTGTGTACGGAATCATAAGCTGCAACACACCAGACTACACTTCCACGAGTTATATTGGTGTTACTAATCAACTTTCAGGATATAAAGAAAAGTTAAGTGATTATATTGAACGATCGTAATGGTGCACTCAGCAAAGAGCAACTTCAGAAAATAATTCCAGTGGTGGTAGTAAGTCATACCAAAAAGAATTATTTCAATTGAGCAGTCAGTGACTGAGCTGTTAAGGCCAACGTTTGCACACTGAACAGGTCCGTATTGCCGGATTTAAGTTACACAAAAGCCAGCGGATGGCTAGCTAAAGCTAGCGGGCGCCTAATGGAGATGCGCTAAAATGAAGGATGGCTAGCGGAGTAGAGCAGATGCTGCACGCAAACTAGCAGAGAATAGTACTAGCTTCAGTAAGACATCCGCTGGTTTCCACTAGCTAATCGATATTGCCGCTAGGTCAGTAAGTTTTAGCGCAACTTAAATCTGCGAAATCGGCAATATACGGACCCGTGACTGATTGTATGAACTGACTACCTTACTCGGGATTATTACGACGGGTTTATTAACGACCGGTTAAAATATGGTTCGGGAAAAAATATGGCGAAATTGCTCAAAACCCACCACATTTTCCCGGTCGCCATTTTACCGGTGTCCAACCTTTCAATTTTAGATTCAAAAATTTTGTCTCAGATGTAAATTTCCTTATTAGAGATAAGCAAGTTTAGAAATTTTCGCATTGCTAAAACTTGTGAAACAAGTCGAATTATCAATAATTGTTGAAAGTAGACAGAAATAATGACTCGTGGTTAATCAAACTAGATGGAAAATAATTTTTAACATTTGAAGCGTAACAACCAGATCGATATTAAGATAAAGGGAGAGCTGTTTAGTCTTCCAATAAGTTGTAATCATCTTCGTTATCTTCATCTGGATCATCCCTTTCATCAGTTTTAATTAATTCAAGTTTTAATTTAACTGTTACTTTTACTTTGAGTCCTATTTCATTATGTAGAGATAGTCAATACCTAAGAAATTAAAAATTGGCCTATTTAAATCAAATTTGACAATAAGGATATATGACAAGAATTGGGCAAAAAGGTGAATTTTTTGCAATTTTAGCCAAATGAAGTCAAAAAACCTACAACAAGTGTCCCAATAGTCTTCTTTAGTGAATATAAGACAACGATTAAAATATGAGCACCCATACCCCTTGGTAACCCTAAAAGCTGAGTAGGCGGGTTTATTAACGACCGGTGAAAATGTGGTTCGGGAAAAATATGGCGAAATTACCCTAAACCCACCACTTTATCCCGGTCATAATAATCCCGAGTAAGGTATTTCGAAATGGCCACAACCTCTTTCAATGAGGTTGATACAATTTGATTTTGTTTCTCGCATTCCGTCAAATCATACATCTCTAACATTTTTATTTTAGAGGAACCACGAAAACCAATTCAGTGTCAACCGATCACGAAAAGCATGGGGAAAATGAAAAATGTGTCACAAAGCATATTATGAACATTTTAAAATATTGGGAATTAGTATCAAATCAAATCAAATCAAAATATAATGACACAAACATCATCACACATCATCAAAAATATATCTACTAAAGTTTTAAATTATCTTGAATATATTGGCCTAAACAACCAAGTTAAAATGAATCTAATTTACATACTTTCCACTACTATATAAGTTGATAAAGCGTTTTTTAGCAACATGAGATGTAAACAAAGTTGATAATCAAATTACAAAATAATTAAATAGAAACAATAAATTTTGTGGGCTGCAACAATAACACTTAACTCCTAGCTCAAGTATTTTAGTGAAAATGTGACAGTATTCGCTTCAGCGCTCGATTTTTATATAACGGTGTAGATTGGAGAAAAATGCGCGGCGTACCTACAATTTTGGTTTCATGTTAAAATGGTTTTCATGTTAAAATGGTTTTTGGCCATAATTATAGAAAAAAATTTGAATTAATCCGTTTTTTAGATTAATGGAAAATTTGTTTATGCTCAGCATCAAATTACTAAAATTAAAGTAAACAAAAAAATGTAAAAACTTTTTTTAGCCACTATTTTGGATTTTGTCCCACTTTGTGTGCCCGCCGCGCACAAGTGTGTGGTCATATTGGAGGACTTCGCCGCTTCGACGCGCCGCGCAAACTAGCATTCTTGACATCGTCAATCAAGTGGTCATATTAATGTGGTTTTTACGGTATGGCCTGAAAATATTTTAATTATTTATCGGAAATTTTTTTAAATATTAGCTAATATATGAAATTTAAACATAAATTTAATTAGAATAAAAGTCACAGGAGGAGCAAAGTGCAAAAAATTGCTGCTAACTGCATGCTGCTGACTAGAACTGCTGCTAACTGCTGCAGCAGTTTTTATGCACTTTGGTCAATTGTCTTCCTGTTCGAAGTCAGTTATTGAAATATTTGTAAAATAAATTTTACTTCTGCTTTGAAATTCTTTTTAAATCTAATATTTTTGAATTCATTAGAAGTGTATCTGACGATATTTTAGAACTCGAAATTTGGGAGAGTATTTGGCACTTAAACTTTAATCCTGCCAAGTGTAAAGTAGTCCATATTAGGAAAACAAATTTTTTTTTTAGGAAAACAAATTTAAATTTTGGTATTTATTAATAACAATCAAAACATATTATATCATAAAAATAAAGCCGCGCGTTGGTTGACTGCCTCAGTAAGGTGAATAATTTAAGCTTGAAGGTGCCCTGCGCATTTACAGAACCTTATGCGGCGATCACATATTCATGAGGACCTGTGAGCGCCAAATTTAATTTTAAGTTTCTAGAAATCATACATCACTACGAGTTACTCATGCTTTTGGATTATAAGAGTGCGGATTGTCAGGTATTTCATTCATTCATACTTAATCGGTTTAAAGCTGTATATTTAGAACTCACTATTGTTTAAACTACGAAAGCAGAACGTAGATAATGGACAGTATACCGACGACAATACCAAGGACCCGAGTGCCGCATTGACTTTTCCGGATCCGTTTTTACCGAAGGCTTATCCACCAGTTACTCATGCTGCATGTATAGTCTGATAATATTTTGTCTTATCTCTAGCAAGCATTCTGTAAATTGAAGTGTCGTATTTATTATAGAAGAGCCAGCCAACCTCCGCATTATAATCTTTTGTGTGCCAAGTATATATATCTAAGTGATTGTACACAGTATGAAATTATAGATATTATTAATGAGTTCACAAATGGTAAATCTAGTGACATTCC